GTTTGGAACAGAATTGATTCGGGCCAAGAATGCAATCTTGCTGTTCTTTCTAGCTTTTGTATCCACGCACTGGCATGTTCTAAGTCACGATCACCATCAAAATCATTAATAAGATATATAAGTAAGATAAATCTGGCATACCACTAAAGTTTTGAATTTTTTTTTTTTTGGTCAAATGTCTGTTCTGTTCGGTTTTGTTGTTGCTGCTGTATGGCAAGCATATATCTCATGTTTTGTTCCATTAGTCCAGAAATTGTTTCTGAAAACCTACTCTTACCAACTGAATTTGAATTCACAGGTTTTGCCTGCTTTTCTGGTTCAGGAGAACTACTTGTAGAGCCTGCCTCTGATTTATATTCTCGGTTCACATCAAGCTTATTCGACGAAATACTACAGTTTTGTTGTTTGTCCATAAAATCCTCGAATTCTTCGAAACTGAAACATGGCCCCTGCTGGCCCTGCTCATAACTGTGTGATCGATTATCCATTTTTCCTATTTTGAGGCTATCCCACTTCTGAAATTGTAGGTGCCGGGTCACTATAAATAATTCTTCAAATTTCACTTTATAACTGTTTTCATTTTGCACATAAACATCCCTTCAACCTAATTTCATAAACAAGTTTTCCATAATTACAAAAATAATAAACGCGATCGAGTTCCCCTTATGCTATTTATAGAACAGTTTTGCGTCAATAAAGTACCTAGCACTTTAAAATAAAGCACTTTATTTCACTAGTAAAATACTAGTAAAATAAAGTGCTACTTTATTTTACTAGTAAAATGAAATGCCACTTTATTACCTGGACTACCTGACAACCTCCCAAGGTGAAACAGGTCCTGACAACCTGCCAAGGTGAAACAGGTATACCTACGCGAATTTTAATTTTTTCATTAGATTTTCTCAATTTTTAACAAAAACTAGTCGCAATCGTACATAAAATCATGTATATTATACCGCTTACATAAACAGGCTTTATTGACTCATTAGTTAATAGCCTCGCTCGCAAGCTCGCTCGGCCATAAAATTATTCGTACAATAAAGCCTTAGTTTTTGTACTTGTTATATAAATAGCTATTCTAATCCTTCCAGTTCCAACCTCCCTTGCCAAAAAATCTAACCTCTAACCCTACTCGTCACTGTCAAGCGTGAAGTTAGCCCTTAAATTATAATTCCTACACAAGTTATTTCTTTCCATTTTTATGTTTTTTTGTTTGTTTATAACATTTTTTATAACATGTGATTTTTGGTATTCAGAGCGTGCATTAGGGCCTTGTTGAATTTATACTAATATTTTCCCACGCTGAAGAACGAATATCCTATTAAATAAATTGAAATAATCAATCTAGAGATAATGGCTCAATAACAATTATAGCTGAGTGGGAGGCTACTCAGCTATAATTGTTATTGAGCCATTATCTCTATGGGACCTCAGTACCTGCTCGTGAAACTGGCGAACTAACCAAAAACTCTTCGGTATTGAATATAGGTAGTGTTGATTGCATGTGGTGTGTGGAATTAAAATTTTAGCACAAGAACAGAGACGGTACCTAATTAAAACTTTCATTGACTTAAATTATTGAATTAATGACTCACAATTATCATAAACATATGATACAGTATGTTTTGATTTTTGAGGAATGTTCGATCGATGGTTTCTCTGCCGTTCTCTTTCCCCTCGAGAATTCCAGGTCGAGAACGTTACGATTTACTCTAATAATAAAGTAAAGTAGATGTTTCACAAATTTTTCGTTTCTTTTACATATCACAGCTTTCCTTAAATTTCCCAAATATTTGCTATGTCGGGCGCATGTCCAGTAAATAAAATTGAGTAAGTTTCCACAACGTAGGTCCTGTTTGTTTTTCATTTCGTTTTTCAGAAGATTTGTTGTTTAAAAGGTAATAAAAATTCTCACCGTTCAATCTTATTGAATGAACCCGGGTATGTTGTACTACAGATCTATGTAGTAATGACTCATTACTAGATGGTGTTTACAGGAGGGGTTTGAGCGTCAACGTCAACAAAACCATACTTTTACAAGGAAAAGGAAGCTAAATATAACAGCCCCAACCTTAAATGGGATACAAATCAATTTTTCAAGTGAGGTTGAATATCTGGGAGTCATCTTGGATCAAAAACTTACTTGTATACATCATCTTAAAAGAGTAACCGACCGGGCAATAGTCACAAACTGGACATGCCGGAGATGATTCAGCAAAACTTGGGGTCTAAAGCCAAAAATGATCTTCTGGTTATTTACAGTGGTTACGCAACTGCACAAAGGTATGTATGTCTTGGAATTACAAGAGCAATGAACACTAACCCAAACTAACCGCCACAATGGAGGTCCAACCCCCTCTAGATATGATAGTGAGGAAGCAAGCCTACATGGGAGCATCGAAAATAATGCAGTTCTAAAAACAAAAGTAAGGGGACTTTGTCGGCCACATGAGCATGATGAAAAAATGCATAAATGTGAAGACAAAACCATTTTACCCCATGAAACACAGGTGCAAATTAGAACACTCCTTTAAAGTGGCCATCACAATCTAAAATCTAAATTGCAGAGTGGTCTACTTCACTTCCCTATCTTTAGGATATAAAGTAGTTATAGCTCCTGTTATAGTACAAACCGCACAATCACGCTGCAAAAAATGTCATTAGGAAGCCAAAATTTGGTAAATAATTTCTATACATGCCACAGAATACCCAATTAAAGCCTGATAAACTTTTAAAAAATATCCAGAGATCGAGTGAGAAACAACGGGGCACAGAGTAAAACAAAGATAAGAGCAACCATAATTCTGCCATTTTTCTTCATTTTCATGGACCGCGGCCGCCCGTAAACAGGAAAATAAAACAGTCTCCATACCCATTACTTTCCACTTTGCATTGTATTTCTAAAGCCAACGTTAAATGGGAAATTACACAACTAGGATAATAAAGGAAACCGGCTAATAATTTTCAAAATTAACCGACAATAGGGGGGGTTTCTTTATGGCCTGTAAGTACTTGTGAGGCCGGGTTTGAATTAATTTTGTTTTAATATCGGTTAAAAACGACGCCTGGTGTAACGGAAAAACCTAATTGACGTCATAAATTCCCACTGTTCTCCCAATTTGTACGTTATTATGGTTTTATTTTTTGGAAAATTGAACAAATAAACCATAATAATTGGACATAGATGCACTTTTATTGTTTAATCCAGAAGTTTCTGGAAGATTACATTAATTCGGCTAGATCCCCAAAAGACTTCGTCAAACCAAGCAAAAGTCTAGGAAATGCGACATTTCGGATTTTTAGACTTGATTGTAACGTGACTGCATCTCAAGGGACATTGGTTTATTGTTCCTGCACGGAATAATAAAATTTGGACTGATCATGTTCCAATTAGAATTTCAACTTGAAAACTGTCTAGACATAAACTTTCACTTGAGAGAGTTTGACTTATCAAAAATTTTAACGAGAGAAAATAACTTCAAACTTCTTTGCTGATTCCATCAAAATAATTATTTTGGCTCTAATAATATATTAAAATAAATCAATGCTGGCCTAAAACTGGTCAAATCCCATATGGCACTTGGCCTAATTAACTAGCCACAAAACGGATAAAACAAGAAACCTCGCCAAAACGTAATTTCAGCTTTTGTTTTGCCCCTTTTAAAAAACTTTAATTTAACCGGAACGGCCCAACAGGAAGATATAAAAATCCCGCTGAAATTTACAGTCGCCTCGGCAAAGTCGGTACCTTATTCACTGAAATATTACTCGGAGATTTAGCGTTTTCTCGCTGGCAAGATGGCCATTTTGCAACAAAAATAGCTGCCATAACTCCGTTTAATTTGATAAGTATTGCAGTAAAGTGAAGGTCTTTTAAATTAGAGATGGGTTAGTTCTGGTAAACGGGAGCGAAATTGAGATTGAGTAGCTTCTGCGTTTTGCTATGTGGTTTGATTATGATAATAAATGTTACAGCTTTGTTGCTACATACTAAGGATTTTAGTTGTTATTTATTTAATAAATTGCATATAGGTAATGGTCCCTGTAAACCCCAAACCAAGGCTTTACAAAGTAAAGAAGTTTAAAATGTGTAAGATATAACATCCTTAGGATGTTAATCACCAAAGTGGAAATTCTGATAAATAAGATTATTTTTCTGAAAACAAAATTCCTCTTTAAACACCTGAGCTCCCGAAAAAAAAAATAATGTCTTCAAATCCCAAACTAGCTCCGGAACGAAAGAATCACTTAAGGGATTCTCTGCTAAGCTGGGGGAGGATATGCCAATGAACACATGCCGAGTGTGTTTAGCGTGTGAAAACGTTAGGAAATGAGATTAAAGTAAACATTCTCTCCCTTCTGTATACGGAATAATGCTTTTGTTTCAGATTTAGTCGTTTCGGAGTTTAGAAAAGTTCCTCCCGGAAGGTAGGTGCGAATTGAAGCGTTACAATGCCGAATAAATTTCACAGCGAGGGAAACAGTAGTGGAGGGTACATGACACACGATCGGTGTTATACTATATGAATTTACTCCCTCTTTAGGGTAGAGGAAATAAACGGAGTGAATCCGTGAAGCGTGAATTTGGAAATTGGGATAAAATTAAATTTCAATTATGTAGTTTGAAACAATGGTGAATTTATATAATATTTCCTTCTTGGTAAATGTTGTTGAGCATCAAGCAACATATTTGTCTTCACAGCACTTACCAGAAACACTAGAAGATTTTAGAGTTAGAACTTAAATTACACTTGACAAAACATTGAAAATCAAGGAAAACCTAACATCGAGAGAAAATCATTTAAACAATACAACACAATTAAGATAGTTCCAGTTTAAGATAAAGACAAATTAAAGTTAGGGTTAAAAAGGCAATCAAATAAAAATGTTTAAAAACGAGCACTTAAATAAAAAATCCAGTGGCCACCCCACTTCAATAAAACATTGATTCATTATCGTAAAACCCAATTTTCTCAATAAAAAGAAAAAATTTATTGTATATTTTTACAACATAAACTGAATAATGAAACATAAAATCAAATTTAATTTAAACACTAATTGGGGAATCTTTATCACACTAGCCGAAGATGGTTTTCCAATGACACTAAGCACTGCCTTCATAAAATCTTCCCATCTATCTCTCGGAGTAGCTTTTTCTTCTTTTGGTTTACTATTGAGCTTTATTTTGGATATGGGCACACTTATTACACATTTTTTATCCTTTTCACTGTAGACATAACCCCATTTACAAACACAACTGAAAAAATTCAATAAATTATTAGAGAATTTGAATTGTTATCATGCAGAGCAGATTTCTGTATAATCAATGCCCTTATAATTAAAAAGCACTTAATACTTAAGAGCTTATTTTACAATTACATATAAGCCAAAAATAATGTCCCTATTCTAGGTGTAGTTTTGAAAGTAAATGGCCTGTAAATTTGCATAATGAAAACTTTACTTGACATAAAATAATTATTAGCTCACGTGTATTTTCCAGGCAAATTCAAACATGCTTGTCCTTCATCATTACAACTTTGCACATCTTCGTCAGCGCATTCATCAACATCAACGCAAATACCATATAACGAGCTCCAAACGTATCCTTTTTCCGAGCAGCTACAGCTTACGTTCCATCTATTGAGAATTATGTCACTGGAATTCAAGGAAAACACATTTTATCACAAACAGTATAGCTCTTTATGTGGCGTAACCTTGCAACGCGCCTTATACAATAACGCTGAAACCTCAATTTCATACGATACAGGATTTAATAAAGCGAGTTTATTGGCAATTTTGTTCGGCTTGTCGACATGCTCTGATACTCAACCTATTACAACATACACAACGGAAAATATTTCAATATAAGTTCATGTAATGAGACTTGAAAGGATAAGAGGAGTTATGATTTATTTATTTTTTATTTGAAGAATGATGTGCCTCTAGGTAAAAATAATCTTTGAAATTTCTCGCATATAATATTTGTAGGTGTTTTATGGATTAGAACATCATTTGAGAGAGTATTATTTGTAGCTACCTTGACAAATGAACTTAAATTTGCTTGGGTTGGCTCGATTTTTACCAGATTAAAGCAACTCACACCAAATGATCTGTGTTAGAGTTTGATTTACTGGATCCAATGAATAATTAACACACATTAGGTGTGTCGAGCACACTGGGCAATATTCGAAAATTATTGTTGTATGCACACGCATTGGTCAAATACTTTTCTCTTTAGAGACATTAGAATAGCTGATTGGAATACTGATTTCAGTTTACCGAACACTGCCCCAGATCAAACCTATTCTGTGCTGAATTTCGTGTGTTTGATTGTTGCCTCTATATGCTGATCTCGTCTCCTAAATATTTATATTTTGGGGAACTTCGCAATATGTCCCTAGTTCTTTATTATTGGAAAAGTTTTGTAGATAAACTTATGGTGCATACATTCTTTACATGCAGTAGAGATAGAAAGGTCGTTCACCATCACACTGCGCACCGGTGGAACCATCTACCAGTTGATAGTAAGCACTAGGAAGTTCATTCACCACCACACCGTGCAACCATATACCAGTTCATCTGTCAGTGTCTTACTCAAGTGACGCCATCTATCAATGTTTAACCTACTCCGGACTACTTCAACTTTTTCAACTAAACCCAAGTGATGTTATCTATAACCTAGCGGGGACACCTGAGCTTGGGAATTTTTTTTTCGATACCGTGGGAAAATCTCTAGATCGGCGGCGCCTTTGATCTGAAATTTCAGGGATTTAACCCGGGCCAACCCCAAATTTTTGGCGGTTTTCAAACTGTAGTTATGGTCCATTCGGGGCGTGTATTATTTAGGTACCGTTTTATCTACAAAGCGAAAAATAAGAATATTTTTTCAATTATTTTCATTCGTTACTAGTTGTCTACCTTCATTTTACCTTTACAGGTTTACTTTTGACATTTTTCAAATCACCAAAAATAGTTGTGTTATAGAGTCATAACCTCGTCCATAACACCACTAGTTGTGTTATAAATTCATAACCTAGTCTATAACACCACGTAACTCAAATACTAGAAGAATGGTTATGTAAAAACGTCATAACCAAACGCTTGTAGATAAAATACCAAAAACTACAGCTGGTTATACAAGTATAGATTAAGTAAGTATAGGCATCAGGTCTCGAATCGGTATATTTTCCGTTATAGTGGAGTTTATAGTCTGGTTTCTGCAGAAGATTCCAATTTTGGCAAGGGTTTCTTGCCGTGGTCCAATATCGATAGTTGTCCATTCCCTGCTTGCTAAAATACTTTTATTTTGAAATTCTGCTTTCAATTTATAATGGTAGAATTTATTCTGGGATGTTGGAAGTAGTCTGGAAAGTGGGTGTACGATCGTTGTCTATAAGGCGGTAGTAAAGCGGAATCCATGAATCGTTGAAATAGCTATCCGTTTTCAGCTGAGCCTTGATATCTCGTACGTCTGATGGTGCGTGTATATAGAAGACATTTTAAACCACTGCGGGAGAGCAATAAAATTGAAACTGAGCCAAACCATTGCTGTTACATGAATGCAACATTCTACTATTTGGTTAGAGCTCTTATATAAAAATAACATTTTTTTTGTGAGGAGGGAAGTCCATCTACATGACGTGTTCTCCAATTTCCAGATTAGTTATGATAAAAGAAAAACGGAAGTCTTACTTGCAACTCAAAAGCACGCCTGCGTTCAAGTGGTAATTTTCCCCAAATATTTAAAAAGTGTAGTACTATCGACATATTGTAAGAAAAACCCAATTGGTAAGTCTTTTAACTCGTCGGCACTACAATATTCTATATTTTTTTCCCCCGGTAGAAAGTTTGACAATTGGTCAAACATGTTTGAAAGCTTGAACTAGACTGAAGCATACAGTTGTGGAATATACGGATGCTTAGGTTCCTTGCTACCGCTGCTTCTGTTGCTGTCGCCATTTTTTAGGTTGCTTCACCTTTTCAGTAATCATTTTGATAACCTGACCTCTGGTTATTAAATCGGTATCGTTTATAGCATTTGAAGATCTAACTATTCTCCTGTCGCCGATACTTAGATAAGTTGGCGTAATATTGAATTTCTTATGTTGATTTTCTAATTGCCGGTTGCACCGACGATTTTAAGGGAGGTTTAAAGATAATCAACGCTTAAAGTGACATTTTTACATGGATAAATGTCACTTTATCGTTAAACCTTTCTTAAAATTTTCGGTGCAAACGGCCATAAGACAGTTATTCTTACAGCCAATTTTGCTTTAATATCATTTTCAATAGATTGATTTTTACTTATCAAACTTTCATGTTCTTCTAACTGTCCTTCAGTGAGGACTCCAGCTGCTTAAACTTATTCTCTTTTTGTGGGGGTGGCGTAGTTTTTACATGGTTTTCCAGATCTTTTTTGAGCCTTTCCGAGATTTCTTGAAGTTTTTTATCTGTGTAGGATTTTGTAACAATCTTGTGTACCACCACCAGGACTTTTTACGTTGCTCAGTTTGAGTACAACATTTTTGTAGTCGTTGAGATGCTGCGTACGCCCAAATTTATCGACCGACTTGATGATACTGAGGAAAATATCAAATGTTACAATTTCCTATCTCACTAGAAAGACTTTGTGGCGCAATGGTAGCGCATCTGACTCCAGATCAGAATGTTGTGTGTTCGAATCACACCAAAGTCAACAAAAGTTTGGATGCTACCAAGCTCCCGATAAGGCTATAGTTAACACTCTAGCCTGATCGAAAGCTGACTTAATTCAAACTTTTTTTACGCTCCGTTTTTATTCTGCTATCAGGGGAAAATAAGATAACGATCGTTTTTGAGCTATTTATTTATAGTTACATAGTATGTTTTTAAACTAATCTAAAACACCATCACATTGTTGATATCTGCTATTTTTTCTGGGTTAACGTATACGAACACTAACATGAAATAAGATAGTTCACAAATATTTAATTCACAGTATTCTTCAACCACATTCAGAAAATTATCCTCGTTGACAGTTTCTATTATAAGATTGTCATAAAAAGTTCTAAAATCTAGTCCTTCGAGTAAACTTAACCTGTAATCTATTATGTCTTGGATTCCTAAAAGATGTTTGATATCATCCATACAAAAACATAAATTAATTTATCTGCTCGTTAACTTGATCATTCTCTCGTCCAAAAATATAATTGTTGAAACAGTGTTTTCCGATAATGAACCAACTGTCACACCACTAACTTCGCCAACAAGGTCAGTGGATAAGTCCATGAAGGACGTGACAATTTTCAGGAATTCAGTCCATTCAATATCACTAAACGATACAGTCACTTGTTCTTCGGGTAGGTTCAAAATTGCACTGGATACTCTTACACTGGGTATTAGTCCTCTAGCAATACTTCATCCTGCAACAATTTTGAAATTCTTCATCAAATAGTAAGTCTCTCCCAAAAATTTGGTTTATTTCTTGATTTCTTGATTGCTTCTTAAAACCATACTAGCAAAATACTCCGAATAAGGTGAGGGGCAAGTTGAGCAACCATCATTGTCACCACTGTTGATTGAATTTTCAGCTGTTGTCGACATGGTGTCTGCTAGCATGGAACTGTGATACAAGAATTGAGAAATTGCGTTTATAGGTATCACCCCCGCCATTTAATTAGTTTAAACTTGTTTATTTTCACCTCCAGAATAAGAAGTTTAACCAAAGACCACCCGCTATCTTTTTCCTGGCAGCTTTGGCAACTAAAACTTGCTTAAAATCGTCAAATAATTTATAGAGATCCGTTATGGACAAAACAGTAAAAAAGCGGGAATTGTATGATTTTATTTCTTGCATTACTCTTAAAATCTAAAGTCCATATAATTCCATGTTTATTTTTATACTAGAGTTAGTAGAAATACTTTTTCCTATTAAATCCACTACTTTCGGGTCCAGTTTTTCTAAATAAAGTCCTACACTTGTCAGGTGTGCATTCAAGTATAATCTATAGGAAATTATCCGATATTTGAAAGCCGAATTGATAATCTGAACATTGGGCTCACACTCCGTACAGTACTTACTTAGATAATGTGAATGGGAAGAAATTGTTTCATTACAAACTTTACAGTGCAAGCTCATAATTGCAAATGAGCCGGGCAATCTAAGAAATCTAGTTTCAAACCAGATATTTGGTTTTATCGATCCAACTGTTGTGAGATTTATCAAATCCCAACCATTTGACAAAAACCTTATTTCCTTTCTTTCGTAATACTTATTCAATGATAAATACATCAGGTTGTTTCGTTTTCTGCAATTTTTCTTCATAAAAAACCCCCACTAATAGGATGGCCTTGCAGATATGTTGTGGGATTTGTTATTTGGATTTTAGCGATTCTGAACAGTTCTGCAGTCCAATTTGGAGTATAGGCTTTTTGAAAGACATGTTGGTACTTGCTTATGCGGACTTCGTCACCAACCTTGAACTTTTGTTTACCAACAACCTTGATATGGCGGTAAACAGAATCAGGCAATGCCTTTTGATTATTTTTATTAACTTTACTTGGCTTCATACGAATTGTTAGGTATTATTATAGGTATCAGTAACTGGTTTCAATAAATCGAGCCATTTATGGTTCTCATTTAATGTAAATTGCTTGAATAGTTTTTCTTTTAATTCTCATTCTACAATTGATGCTTTCAGAGGACTAAATGCACTGTAATGATGTATCCCATGTTTTTTCATTAGACTCGAGAATTGTGTGTTATAGTTTTCCTTGCCATTATCGGAAATAAATTTCTTGGGTAGGTATTCTTCCAGAAGATTTCAATATGCTTTCCATAGCTTTGGCAACATCCGTATAGATTTCGATTTTACAGCTTTAGTTCAGAAGAATTTGGAAAAACAATCGATAACAACCAACCAATATATTTGAATCCTTTGTTTTCTCGAGCATACTGATCAAGCTGCACCAAATCTGTTGCAAAAGTTTCATCTAGGCCAAATTCTATGAATCTTCTACGATCAAACTTTTTACGGGCTGGCTTATGAAGCTCTTCAACAACCTGCTCTCTAGCTCTCGTGATAAAGGACATTGAGATCCAAACTTTCTCGAAGTAAACACAAGAATGATTCTAAATAAAGGAAATAGGTTTATTTATTGAATTCGATTACACCCAACTTAACCAGTTCCTCCAGAATACTCATAATCTCATTGATGTGGTTTCTTGAGATGCATCCAATTTTGCAAGTCTGTCAATTAACTCGTTGACGTCGTCATAATAGACATATTGCTTCGGTTTCCTATTATATTCTAACAAAGAACTTCCCGATTTATATTTAGATCTTGTGAATGGATTTTTAGTCGGGGGTGCATGCGTTGATTTAATCCTTCTTGCTTCAGAACAATGTCGAAACCAATGGTCTAATAATATATTTATAATTCACAGATATAGACTCTTTAACTTGTTTGGTTAGATCATAGTCTCTTCGATGTGCATTAGTTTTTTTCAAAATATCACTGAATTGCTGCCTATCCTTTGCTGTATCATTTAACGGCTTTTTCTTTTTCATGAATAGTAATTCGTATAGTCCGTGTGTTTCTTCATAAGTTACATCACCCACTTTGATATCTCCATTCGAAAGAAAGTCGACTTTTTGTGATCCCATAGTCCAATCATCAGTTTTAGAGTAGTCTATCTCATCCGATTCATTAAAGTAACTATCTACATAAGCTTGTGATATTTTGGGATATTGATCTAAAAACTGTTCCTGATCTTTCGATAATTGATTTCTGTAGCTCCTCCTGCAATGGTTTGAACCAAATCTGAGACTAATTCGGTTGACCTCTGACGGAACTTTTTTAATGCCAAGATCACGAAGATCCTGAACCTGAAGATAAATCCATAAATTAGGCACCGGAAAGACATTGAAACCAAGGCTAAAGTATTAAATCGCGGGGACCAATCAACAGATCCATCAAACACTTTATTTATGATCGACACGAATTTCGGCATCCTTTGATAGAGGCGGCCTCGCATTTTTACGATATCCGTTGACCCCAATAATCAAGGAAATTACGACATCTTCGGTAGAACAAATAATTATATTTCTTAGAAATAGTGGAAGAAGAAATTGGGTCGATGTATCAAAATCACGCGGATTAATTATGATCGAATGTGGGAGCTAAAACTATTTGATCAAACTACAATCAAGTGGAAGGACGGTTGACAGTAGGCAATACATAGTGGTCATTAGACAGTACAGAGTTGAATTTTTGCCTCGAGCTAGCTCAATTTCGCTTCTAGAATCGAATCTTGTCCGTGAAAAATTTGAGAAAGTGAAGAAATCACGAAAAGTATAACAGTTAATGGTCGCTTATCAAGAAGTTTAAAAGAAAATTAGGAAACGGTTAGTCTAAAGTATGTGCGTACTATAAATAATAAAAAGAAATTTATGTTCGAATAATTTAGTGAAAATAAGGGAAAATTGTAAGTACATATAGGAAGTTGAGAGTCTGAATGCTGAAGTGAAATTGACTATTGAATATTTCCTAAATCTGTAAGATATTAAGAAGCACTAACTTCAAAAGTCGGTTTTCAACTGTTGATCACACTGGCTCAAATTATGTAAGAATATAGGAGATTCTGTAATGTACCAACGCTTTTCAACAAATAATAGCTACATAAAATGTCTGCTGCTGTCCGACTGCAGTTTCATAAAGATAAATTATCAAGTTGAAACAATGTTATAAGCATTACTTAACACTTAAGTACATAGAATTAATAAACATTTTGGTGAACAACCTTTGTAAGGCAATAATAATCAGTCGTATGAATAAAGTGTAGCAAATGCTTTTACTCTATATCCGTCTCTTCTTGCTGCATTAAAGCTGAATATGTTTATCTCAAAAAACTTAAGTAAAAGCTTCTGTTTAATTCATATGATCTATATCTCCCATTTGCTTACTATTGCATTCAAAATACATTGTGATACATTTTTCTTTAAACGACGCGCCCGATCTTTTCGCATGATCTCCAGTCTCACCTAAAGTCCGTATTTTGCGACCTGTTAAAGCCGCATATTCTGTGCCCTTCTGGGTTTTCACTGAAACACGGATTTTTTTCGTCCTGCCAGCACATTTCTTTTCTGGGCAGTTGCTTATTAGGACAACAAGGATCCGGACAAAAGCTAAAAAGAAAATTAACTCTTAGCATTTTTGGAGACAAGTAGATATTTTGGGACACGGTTGACTCTTTTGTTTACCTATATTGGGCACAAGCATATGGTTCACTATTATTAGCCCTTACATCCAAATTATTTGGACCCGTAGACAAGTCCATACAATAAGCAAAATTGTCGCAATGTTCATCTATGTGTTGCAAATCTGGTACTTCATTCATTGTGTACCAGCACATGTAGTAGCTAGCAGTAGACCTCCATTGATAACGTTCTAGTGGCCCTAAATAAGACAATTCAGTTTACAGTATTGATTGAATATTGAAATAACCTTCAAATGGAGGCGCAATTCTATTATCAATATCTCTCATTCTTCGACATTCCAAATCAACTTGGCTTAGAATGATTGAGGCATTTGGACCCAAATTGCTTTCTTGGGCAACGATTGCTGTATCATCCTGTCTACGTATAGCAACATTCTTTAGTTTTTTCCTCAGATAGTCTACGCAATGAAGAAAAGACGGTTCACAATATTTTTTTACTTCCCAATGTAACGCTCTTAAAGGTGGCTTCGGAAAATATTTGAAGTTTGTTCTAGAAATTATAAAACTACATTAAAATATTTAATCCAATATTGGCACTCAATACACACACATAAACTGAGATAGGATCGTAAATTTGCCGCCATAACATATATCTCTGGCATAATTCAAACTGTCAAATGGCAGCATAATCAGAGCGGCATCGATTATATATCAGTTATGTCAGCTATTTAATAATTGCTCATATGGGCATATGCTCATGGCAACAATGGGGAATTATATCAATTGTACTAAAGATATTTAATAAGAAGGCATATGACAGTAATTACGACTTAGAGAAGAAAAACATTTTAATAAACTCCGAAATAGCTACAATTCAAATTTTAATAAAAGCAACTATGTAAAGTAAATTCGCTTGGCAGCACAGTTTTATTTTAATTTGGAAAACATTCACGAAAATTGCGCAAATAAAAAACCAGGTCCGCCAGTTCTTTTTTTTTAGCAGAAAAATGTCCCGCACTTTTTTAAGCCATCGCATTTTTGACGAGGAGAACCTCCCAGTTATTAAAAAGTTTATATTTCCTGGCAATTTTAATTTGGAACGTCCATTCAAAGAGCTCTGGCCCAACTGGCTGCGTTTTTTTATAAGCTTCTTGAGTTGTTTTAAAGATTTAGTTGGGTTACAGCTTTTTTGAATAGTTAGAGATTATTTTAATTACCTTTCAACATTAGTTCCTTCTCTATTATACCTTCTATCATACTCATTGAACTTATGAGCCCTCAAGTAATAAGCAATATCTTTTAAAGCATCATTGTACCAATATGGATGCTCTTCGCCAGGCAAAAGTTCATCAATTCTCGGATTTTCTGGGATAATTTTAGTTGTTCTGGCTTCCTGTAGGGGAGTAGTTATTACAGCCGGTTGTTCTTCTAAGGTAGTTGAAGTTTGGGTGGCTGTAAAATTTGAAGGCTCTCCTTCGACATTTGCTAGAATAGTGGCGACTGATTGGATTATAAGGGTAATTGAAATGATCATTTTCATTTTGCTAAAGTAAAATTCATCAATGTCATTTAATGAATGTTGATGAAGCTGTCAAATATTAAAGTCCAAGAAAGAAAGTATTGAATTTATACAAGTCTGGCATGGTTTTTGTTGATATCGTGAGGTATATTGAACAGATGATTAAAGTCATTGCCTTTCACCATATCTCATTCTTATTCACGCCCCTATATATTTTTCGGACGATTCTTTCAAAAATCTCCAGCTGGCTTTTCAGGCTGTCAGTCATAACTCATGTTTCGAATCCATCACACAGAACTGGTCTGATGATGGTTTTATGTAGATTCTGATTTTGAATTCGCGATAGATGGTTCCGGAGAAAAATACTTGTGACAAAGAGAAGAATCTCTTAGTTGCCGTCTGTATTCTGTTTCGTATTTCGCAATTCGCCTTCCTCATTCCCCGATGTGTTTATTTTAACTCCCAGGTATTTGAAGCTCTCAACCGCTTCAAGGTCGTCCTCAACTGTAGTGCTTCTGTCATTGTTGTTTCTTCTTATTCAGGTCTGTGTCAGCCTCTTTGTTTTTTGTCTGTTTATTTAGAGTCCGATGTTTTTCGCTTCTCTCTTCAGATTCACATATATTTCTGATGTGTCTTCTGCTCTACGAGACACTCGACAAGACATGATGTTTATGTCGTCTGCGTATGCCGCTAATATTACTGACTTAGATGTAGTTAATAGGTTTGATTTTCCTATGTCTATTTTTCGGCATGACGTACTCTAGCGCCAGATTGAACGGTGTGGGAACTTATCCTTCTCCTTGCTTGAGCTCTTTATTTATGTTGAACATGTCATTTATGCCGTTTTGTATTCACACTGTCGCCGCTGTAGTATCCATTGTGGCTTTAACTAGTCTGATATATTGGGAGGTCGGTGGATAGTGTCGTATGGTCTTTTGAAGTCTATGAAGAAGTTGTGAATGTCGATGTCATGTTCCCAGGCTTAACCAAGCATTTATTTCACCACAAAGAGTTGGTTTCTGCTGAAAGCAATTCTGTCTGAAGTAGGCTTGATATTCACTTATTATATTCTCAGAGATTGATTGTAGATGCTTATTTAGGATATACGTGAATACCTGAGAGGCAGTGCATAAGAGGGTAATTCCTCGATAGTTTTCGCAGCCCAGTTTGTCTTCTTTCTTATAAATAGGGCAAATAGTTCTAGTTCCCAATCTTCTTGGATTCTCTGTTTTTTCCAAATCTTTGAAACCAATGCATCCATCTATGCTGTTATGTGTTCCTCCCCTTCTTTGAACAGTTCAGAGGGGACAAAGGATTAAGATTTCTTCTTTGGAGAAACCAATCAAGAAGAGCATACGCCAAAATGAAGCCTCAATACCAAGATTATACGGATTACCTAAAATTCATAAGAAATATGCACCTCTTCGTCCCATTGTCAGTACAATAGGCTCACCGACATACACCCTCGCAAAACATCTGGCCACGATCTTGCAAACGCACATCGGACTAACGGATTCGTATATAAAGGACTCCACTCACTTCATAGAGAAGATCAGATACTTCGAACTAGACGAAAACGACATTCTAGTAGGCTTTGATATTGTCTCCCTGTTCACGAACATATATTTCCGAAAGATATCGCTGACCTGTTTAAGATTTGCTTTACGACAACGTATTTCACCTTCAACAACGAAGTATATGAACAGATCGACGGTGTATCAATGGAAAGTCCGCTATCGCCAGTAATCGCAAACTTCTCTATGGAGAAACTAAAAAAGAAAGCCTTGGACAGCGCACGTTTAAAACCAAAAGCCTGTCATCGATATGTGGATAACACTTTTGTGGTTTGGCCCTATGGTAGGGATAGTCTGAACGATTTCCTCGCTTATATTAACAGCATACACCCCAGTATCCAATTTACCATGGAACTGGAGGACAACCAATTTACCATGGAACTGGAGGAAAATTGGCTTTTCTCGATGTCCTAGTCTCGAGAAAACAGAGACAACTAGGACACACTGTGTACAGAAGACCAACACACACGAATCGTTATACCTACATAGCAGTTCCAACCATCATCCATGCCAATGGAGAGGAGTAATAAAAACTTTGGTAGAGAGAGCTAGAAAAATCTGCGAGCCCGAACACCTAGCCGAAGAACTAAGTCACCTTAAAGGCGCTCTTATATCAAATGAATACGCCGAAAAGGACATAGACAATTGTATACGACCAAAGCCTTGTATCAGAAACGTTGAACGGGATAGCCGTGGCATCATTTCAAAAGCCTTAAGCCTTTCTACCTTATGTTCCTCAAGTCACAGATGGAATCGGCCGAATTCTGGGAAAATATAACATCAAAACTATTTTCGAACCATCCAAGAAGATCGAGAACCACCTCATATCTGCGAAGGATAAGAGATATCCACTGAGCTCTACAGGTATATATCGCATTCTCTGCACCTGTGGAAGTGTCTACATTGGAACAACTAAGGGGTTAGTCAACACCAGAATCAAAGAACACAAGGCCAATTGCCGCCTTGGACACACAGAAAAATCAGCGGTCGCAGAACATGCACTAAACAATGAAAACCACAGAATAAAATTTGAGGACACCCAAGTTTTATGCACCACTGCTTCATATTATACTAGGTTCTATAGAGAGGCGATTGAAATTCACAAACACCAACAAAATTTCAACAGATCTGAGGAAATACTTTAAATCAACAGAACATGGGTACCGATTCTTAAAAATACAACAAAGCTGCCGTACAAACACAAGGAAAATGAAAATGAATCTCGGAAATGTGACCAAACAAACAGAACCAAAATAAGTCCCGCCCACCCACAAAGCGTATATAACCTGCGCCCGCGACGAGCAGCGAGCAGACCTTCATTCTTCAATCTTCAATCAGTCGCTTAGCAAGCAACATCTGAAGATGCCATCCACTCGTGATGGCGAAACGTCGAGAACCGATCTCCAACAACAACAGCCGAACAGCCCGAAAACCCACTCATCATTAGTTCAGAAGGGAGTTTGTCAATTCCTGGCGCACTCTTGTGTTGTGGTGCTGCGCTCTAATTGCCTGCTTGACCTCGTCCAAGGATGGGGTCCCGATAATTTCCTCTCTTTCCTGCATCTAGGATTTCTGCGTGTTGATCTTTTTCTTACGATCCCAATAAAGTTTGGAAATATGTTTCCTGTGTCCTTGATTAGTTGTTTCTTCAAAAAATTGTGTGTGGTTTGTTTCTTTAACTCAAACTGCGTGGATGTTTATTAGCCGCCCTCAAGTCATTGTTTTGAAAGTCATGTTTCAGTCGTTGCATTTTATCGCTTTCAGATTTTCTCTTCTTTTTGCGGCATGTTTTGTCAAATCTTCTTCTTGTCTTTTCAAATGCAGATCTTCTTTCTCTTGTTCTTCTCTCGACGTAAGCCTTATGAGCTTTGTTCCGATCTTTTGTGGCCCTTTTGCACTCATCATCAAATCAGTCCGCCCCTTTTCCGTCTCTTCTTCTTGCCTATTGTTTGCTTTGCGGTTTAGAGCATTTCAGATTTAAGTTTATTCAATGTTCCTCAGCATTCAAGTTTTCTGTGTTTGTTATTCTTCGGGTAAGTTCTTGCTTGTATCTTGGGGAGACTTTTCCAATCTTAAGTTTTTCAACGTCGAAGCAGTGCAAGGATGATACACACTACTACTACAGGATATCCTATCCTCATATGGCCTGTGTGTAATAATTCCCCTCTCACCAAATCACCAGTTGTGGCGTAGGCAGCATGTATTTCTCGCCTTGACGTAGGCTATTTAAACAGCTGACGACTTAATTATGACGTCGGAAATGGTGACACACCAATATGGCGGCGATCACCAAAAACGAGTCCGATAAGCAATCCTTAGTGTGTATTCTCCTTGGAAGTAGTCAGGTGCTGGGCTTGCCCTGATGTTGTTTCTGGATATCTTGCATCTGAACTTCACCTGCATCAGTAGGTGATCTGACCCGCAGCCCGCAGCATGATCTTCGTCGGCTTTTCATGTCAAGTGTGCTAGTTGCTGCTCTTCTGCCTATGAGGACACAGTCTATTTGGTTAGTGGCAGCTCCATCTGGCATGATCCACCTTGCTTTGTGTATATTCTTGGAAACAGGGTAGAGCTTATAACCACTCCACAACTCCAAGAGGACAATCAACTAGAATTTTACACCTTCACCACAGCAGAGGAGAAAGTGAAGATAATGATCATGAAAAAGCCACCTAATCTAGACATCCCGACAACAATTGAATTGCTCAAATTAGTACATAATCCGAACATAATAGAAATGTTCAGACTTCTAAGCAGGAAGGGCACTTCTTTCTCGTATGTGAGTTTATTCTCTGTGCTTATGAATCCTTCCACCTATTTAAATTTACTTTTGGATTCCGATTCGGATTCGGAAATAGAAAATTTTGTAGTGTCATATAGTCTTTGCAAACGGAATAAAAAGTCGATAGGTATGGAAAAAATTATATTTAAGGAATACAAGCACCCATGGAGAATTCAATTTACTTAGCACCAAATCTTATCCTTATATTTTGTCCTCACATAATCTTCATCATGTCTGTTATACAGAACCTCATTTTTCCTCACACTTTGAATTAATAACTCCATTTTGGTTTAAAATATTTTATGTATTTTGTAATACTACCTCGCCTCGACGAAAAATTGTGTTTGCTTCACAAAGGACGTAGCTCAGGCAGAGCCTCTGTCTAGTTCATAAAAGTTTCTACGTGCAATATGCGGCACCGTGTTTGTTTACGTTTGGTAGGCCATGCTGCCTCCAATGTGCGGCTAATCTTAAATCGTTTCTTGGGCAGTTTTCGAATGCCTTGTCCAGTTGGTCATAAAATGCTCCTTTTCCATCCAGATCTAGTTCTTCTGTTAGGCTATGGAGAGATGATGATAGGTTGAAGTTGTTAGTCGTTTAGTAGCGACATCAGGCTCCTTATTCTTGAAACAGGGAAGCAGCGTTCCTAGGAGAACGAGTGTTCC